AGAGAGGGAAAAAAAAAAAAAAAAAAGGGAAGAAAAAAAAAAAAAAAAAAAAAAAAAAAACAGTACCAGCCACTGCTAGATTTTTAGCAAATGTTAACACTTTTCAGAGGCTCGTTGAGAATGCGTATGTGGCCAGATTGTCATGTAATGAATGCCACAAGACCTACAAAGATTTTAGCTTTACAATGGTAATGTTACAACCGTAATGTAGAACACTCCACAGCTAATGTAGTAAAACTCCCCGCTAATGTAGAAACACCAACAGCTTATGCGGTAAATAGAAAATCAACCCCAGGTAATGTAAAACGCTCAACAGCTAATGTAGTAACGAAAATCGCCTCAAAGCTAATGTAACTGTAGAATATAATATAAAATCAAATTGGAACATAATGGAGTTTACTATCTTTAAACTATTACGTCTTTGAATTAATATCAGCAGTACTTCATTTCTTCTTCCGTTTTGATGCCTGTTTATTGTTTGCCATCTCACATTATATTCCTCAATGAATATTGTTCTATAAATATATTATGAGATAAAGTACCTCAGACGGGAATGGAACCTGTGACCTCTTGCTGTCTAGGTGAACGCCATAACCACTAAACCACCACCATTTTATCATATAATAAGGTATTTTATATGGCTATATTTTTTGTTTGTTTTGCTATATACCAAAGGAAGGCCTTTCTTTCTGGCTGTTTACTTTAATTATAATAAGATCAGGGGCGATCTGGGTTGAAATTTACGGGAGGGGGAGGGGACCAGAAAGTTTATTTAAAAAATCCAGGGGTGTGTCCTCCCCCAGGAATTTTTTTATTCCTAGATGGCAGAAAATGAGCTTTCCTGACTTCTGACATATCTTTTATTGACTTAAGTTCTTCAAAATTCAAGTTTTTATGCCATCTTGAAACTTCAAAACGTTCAGGTAAATTTTTTCATTCTTATTACAGATAGGTATATCATGTCATATAGGTCTATGTAACATTAATTGCATAAGTGTTCTTTTTTTCATGAATCGATGAACCCCAAAGAAGGAGGTTGGGTGTCCTTCTCATTTAAATCATTAAAAGTTTAGGTTTCCCGCTCTTAAAAACGATTCAATGAATCGATAAACCCTAAAGAAGAGGGGGTCTGGGTTCTCCTCGGGAAAATTTTGATTCATAGCTGGCCGCGGAAAATGAGCTTTCCCACTTATGAAGTGTCTTATGACTTAATTTTTTCAAAATTCAAGGTTTACCCCTCTTGCCACTGAGTTATTAGGCATATTACTAACAGCGACAGGATTGATAGACTACTTGTAAATGGCTTTGAAAGACTAGGTGGAGGGTGGAGACACCACGAAGGAAAAAGTTTCTTATTCATCTGTGGGTAGACAACTATAACCGTCAAATTAACCATACACGGCGTCGAACTTAGAAAAAAAAATCTTTTTTTTTTTCAATTTTCCCAATCCTACAATAAAAGACATGTGACCAAAGGGTGATAAACTAATCAATTTTTTATTGGGCCTGCTTACCACTACCTCCTATCAAAATTTTTTTTTTTTTTTTAAGCGCCGCTCTCAAATAAGGGCCACTCTAAAAAATGCGACGCACTGAAGCCTCCAAAAATTTTATAAACGCCGTGGCGCTTATTCAAGCATTACGGTGACGTGTAACATTATTAACATCAATCTTTTCACTACAATTTTTGTCCCATTTAACTTAAACAGTAAGGTGTGTATACCACCTAAGTAACAGAAGCCACTAATCGTCAGTAACTACGTCTAAAACCTTCATAAATCCACAGTGGCGGCGCCAGCGTCTGAATTTTGGGAGGAGGAGGGTTCATTTGAGGGGCAAGGTAAAACATTTTTTTAGTCTGGTGGGGAATAATATGCTGGGGTGGCCCGAAGTGGGTATGGTCGGGTTTCACTCGAAAAGTCTTGAAAGTGGTCCAGGGAGCGAAGCCTTCGAAAAATATGACAATTTAGGGATTTTACAGATAAATCATTTACTAATATGTAGCAAATACAAACCAATTTCTCTCCCCGACGAATTGAGGTTTATTTTCTTTTTTTTAAAAAGGAAAACTGTGCCAGTTGTGGGCTTTGATGTGTTGATCATGTTTATCAATGTTGTTAACGATGTTAACAACGATACCATCGTTATACATGTTGTTAACGATGAAAAAATTAATATATCGTCAGTGGCGGATCTAGGCTTAGTAGGTGTAATAGAAAGGGTTGTAGCACCCATAGTTACCAACCTGAACGATTTGAAATGCGTGAGTGACTATACCAGTAACAATACTACTTGCACAAAAGCGAAATTCAAAAAGAGAAAGGAAAAACATCTTGATTGATTTTAAAAGTACTGTACTGGCAAAGAGACTAAATTAGTGACTGTTTTAAGTTTTATCTTATTTGTTTTTCATGGTTCGTCACAATCTAATCAGTAAATTATATATATATATATATATATATATTAT